CAAACATGTCAATCAAATAAGTCAAAACATGTCAGTCAAATAAATCAAAACATGTCAATCAAATAAGTCAAAACATGTCAGTCAAATAAATCAAAACATGTCAATCAAATAAGTCAAAACATGTCAGTCAAATAAATCAAAACATATCAATCAAATAAATCAAAACATATCAATCAAATAAATCAAAACATATCAATCAAATAAATCAAAACATGTCTATCAAAGAAGTCAAAACATGTCAGTCAAATAAATCAAAACATGTCTATCAAAGAAGTCAAAATATCTCAATCGTAAAAAAATATACTAAATTGTATCAACTATATCAGGTAAATACGCCATTATATCAATGCTGATAAAACCCATAATAGACTGAGATTTCCCTGTCAAATTCAATAATAATTTACTAGCAACAATAATTAAGAAACATAAAAATCTAATCAAGCTGTTTAATGGTTCAATATCCCTGATGAACCACAGACCTCATTTGAGAAGGTTTATGTTCAGTTCTATTCAATATAATTCAATTAAAGTGGATGTGTGTACTAGCATAATAAAAGAGGAATTATGGGTGAAATTATGTCGTATCTCCCAAAGGCTAATTAATATAAAGTTATATTATTATGGTGAAGTCAATTTTCGTTTTTGTCATAAATGTCTTTAGACAGATTAATTCTTGTTTTATGAATTTTTTTTATTTTACCATTAAATTCAGTTTCGAGAGACAGGTGCGCCATTTTGGGGGTTTGATTTTAGTCTTGAATATATGTAAATAGTCTTCAGAAATACTAGAAAGATAAGAAAATCGTATAATTCCTTTAAAAATATCTCAAACTAGGAATTTTACTCACTATTTCTATAGATGTCTTTTCTATAAATCACAGAGTATCTTAAATTGACGAGTCGTCATTTTAACTTTCAAACGCTGATAATTCTAGACATACATGGATTTGAAGACTCAAATTTCGATCGGACTGTGAACACTATTACTGATTGGCTTAGCTAAAAAATTACTTTTTCCTGTACCTTTAACTCTTTTTTTTTCATCTTCACAATGTTAAGCTTATACCCACTTTGTCTAATACCTTGACTACAATAGCCACCTTTCTTGTATCACAGAATGCAGCGATTTGATTATATTATTTGTTAAAAATACAGCCAATCAAAGTCCTTGATAGAAAGTCTGTGAACACAAAGCCATAATGTTTAGTCTTTCTGTCAAGGGATCTGATTGGTCGTATTCACTGTTGTACAATCAAATCAAATCACTGCATTCCGTGATATTACAGGTGGCTGTTACAGTCAAGGTATAAGATGAACTTCGTAATAGCTTGACATTGTAAAGAGGTTAATTTTCAGACTATAATAAAATACAATTTCAAAATATTCTGAGTAAATTGGTAGAAGACAAAAAGATCCTTAAAGAGGCTGTCTCACATACAAATTTCAATCATCCAAATATGCAATTTGGAAATCTATGTGAAATAGCTCTTTTAAACTATCATTAAATTCAGCTTTCACAAGACGCTAAAGATACTATCCCACATAAAAAATGTAAACATATAACCATAATGGTTTAAACTTTAATGATTCATCATCCAAATATGCAATATGGAAATCTATGTGTAATATCTCCTTTAAACTGTCATTAAATTCTACTTTCACAAGCCTGAATTCAATTTAAAAGAAAACTAACTGCAGAAACAAATTCAATTTTGGTTTTAATCACAAAAGAACGTGGAATACAAAAAAAATTTCCATTTCTTGCAACATTGGTAGTGAATCTACTTCAAAGCTGCCATTTCCAAAAGAAAGTAATTTGAAATTTGTTTTCTAACAAAAAGGGCTTTATTACTATGTGGTACATATTAAAGATAGGTTTCCTTATTTTTTTAGTGTCAAATTAAGCAAACTATTTGATTAATTGGTGTTTCTAATGAATTATCATGTATTCTTAATCATATCATTATGTTCTTATTGCATATAATTAAGAGTTTTAACCAATCATAAATGTGCGTGTATGTACAAAAAATAAAATTATGAATTAATTATGGACATGTGAGACAAACTGGTATTATTCCAAGTCATTAGAACACCTCTACTTTCTATTCATATAAGTATTAGCATTTTCATTTTCATAAATAAAAATAAGGGAACCCATCTTTAAATTGTTAAATGGATGTTTTTTTTTAACCTCTCTTCAAAGTCTAAAGTCAAACATTGTCCAAAGGTGCATTGCACTCTTTCCACGGACATAATTATGTCAGTCATGTCAGATATGTGTGAGTCATGTCCATCTTTCCACGGTCATGTGTCAGTCATGTCAGTCATGTCCATCTTTCCACGGTCATGTGTCAGTTTTCCCTTTGGGGTAGATATGTCTGTTTTCCCTTTGGATAGATGTGTCAGTTTTCCATTTGGGGTAGATATGTCAGTTTTCCCTTTGGGATAGATGTGTCAGTTTTCCCTGTGAATAGATGTGTCAGTTTCCCTGGGATA